TAATTCCTGAAGGTTCCCACAGGCTTCTCTCTCTCTCTTTTTTTTATTTATTTATAAAAAAAAAGTTTTTATAACTAATACAAAAAAAAGAAAAAAGGAAAAGAAAAATATATACAAAAAGAAGAAAAACAAACAAAAATGAAAATACAGTTACCTTGCAGGGCAACAGAGCATTAAAAGTGAGTAACAGCACCAGTACATACAATTCAACAGCACCAGTGTGTATAAATCGATACCATCAAATGCTACAAAATAACATTTGTAGTACACAAGTATATTGTATCAGTAGTATACCAAAGCTCTGTAAAGAATAAGACCTGCCATCTCAGCAGACACAAAACATACCCATCTTATTATATAAAACAAGAATAGAATGCATTGCATTGCGTCCATCCATTTATTTCAGATTTTTTCATACTTGTGAGGGGTATTTTGTTGGGTATATACATGCTTTTCAAACATTACATATTTATTTATTTCCAGTATCCAATCTCTCAGGCTAAGAGAACTGGATGAGACGAGACCCAGTGAAAAGCTATCAAGTTGCATACCATATACCCTAATTCACATACCCTAATAAGCATGGAAAAGGGTCTGCAGTCAACACAGAGCCTTATACAGTATTTAGGGTATCTATCCCCTTCTGCCAATAATGAAGCTTGGGGCATTTTCAAAACAAATGTATAAAAGGGCAAGGAGATTGAGCACATTAAGAATTATCCGTAAAGCCAATTTTATGCAGAAATCTCCCTGCTTCTCGCCTGCAAGCCTGCTGTGTTTACACGTTTGTTATATTGTAAAGCGCTGAGCAAACTGTTAGCCCTATTTAAATCCTGTATATTAAAGTATAATAATAAGTTCTACCAGGTGGAAGTTCATGGCTCTTCTAATGACACACTGATGTCTGAGTCTGTTGAGCCTTCTTGACACATTTGTTATGTGGGCCTGTTTGCGTGTGTTACTGTGTTGCCCACCTCTCAGTTTGACTGCTGTAAGACTGAAAAAATAGGGCTTTTAAAATTCAGTTAGATCTGTATTTATTAATTATTAAAGATGCATAAAGATCATGTCGATCCAGCATTAGGAGTAATAGTGACCAGAAAAGACTCCTCTTTTAGTCTGGTATTTATTAAAAAAAAAAACCTTTGGAAATGCATGGTGCACATGTTTTACTTTGTACAGAATTAGACTAGAAAAAGGAGTTATTAACCATTTCAATACCGGGCAATTTTACACCTTCCTGCCCAGGCCAGTTTTCAGCGCTCTCACATTTTGAATGACAATTGCACGGTCATACAACATTGTACCCAAACTAAAATTTAATAATTTTCTTCACACAACTAGAGCTTTTTTTTGGTGGTATTTAATCACCGCTGGGGTTTTTTTTTTGCTAAATTAACAAAAAAAGACCAAAAATTTTGAAAAAAAACACACGGTTTTCTTTGTTTCTGTTATAAAAGTTTGCAAATAAATAATTGTTCTTCATAAATTTAGGCCGAGGTGTATTCTGCTACATGTCTTTGGTGAAAATAACCCAAATTAGGATGTATTTTTTAGTTTGTAGGAAAGTTATAGAGTTCACAAACTATGGTATAGATCTGAATATTGATCAATCCTGAAGTACTGACAGCCAATCTAATTTCTTGAGGTCCAAGAATGTCAGAACAGTACAGATATCCCCCAAATGACCCCTTTTTGCAGAGTAGACAGTCCGACGTACTTCATAAGAGGCATGGCGAGTTTTTTGAAGTTGTATTTTTTTTTGTCATAATTTTTTTGAAAATGAAAAAATTTAAAAAAATTAGTTTCACTATTTTTTTTTTACATATTGTCACCAGTGCAGTACAGCTTCATCATATAACTGGCATGGCGGTGATCAGGGATATTGACTGGTGACGGTATGAAAAAAAAAATATATATATTTTTTTTTTATTATTTTTTATTAAATTTTTTTTCTTTTTTTAAGATTTTTTTTCATATTTCACTATGACCAAAGTAGTACAATGTTACCATAGTAACATTGTACTACTTTGGGGAAGTGATCAGTATTTTTTTTTTTTTTTACACAATTTGCTTATAGCAAAGAATTACTTTGCTATAAGCAAGCATTTACCTGAATGACATCGATTCATTCAGGGTTTTTTTTTTTTTGTGCTTAGCTGTGATTTGGCCACAGCTAATCACATGACATGTGCATGTGATTAGCTGTGACCATTCACAGCTAGGCAGTAGTATACAATGGATGGCATGAATGAAGCCATCCATTGTATACAACTGTCATGTGACCTGCTGTGATTGGTCACAGCAGGTCACATGGTACCGGCAACGGGGGCCGATACTCAGATCTGTCATCGGCCTGTGCGGCTCTGCAGGAGCGCAATCTGAGCATGGGCGGGAGGACACCATATGGTGTCCACCCAGAACGCTGATGACATTTGACGCCCGCCATTCGGCCATAGGGCGGGCGGCAAATGGTTAATTCAGTGTACACCATGAAGGTTTCTAGGAAGGGTTGCCACCTCATCGCTTAAATGCACACTCTGCATTTTAATAACACTGGTAGCATTAGCTATGTAAAGTCACGTTAAAAACAGAGTTTTACCCCATTTTGCTGCGTTTTACCTTGTTTTTCAGTACTAGAGCATTTTTACAGTTAAAAAACTCCTCTAGAAACCCACTAGTTCTGGGGGGGGTTTTTTCCAGCCAAAAAACGCCCCTGCCAAAAAACTCTGATCACAGCCTATGTGTGCATGGACACATAGGATAACATGCTGGGGAGTTTACTGCCTGTAGAAAAAAAATGTCAAAAGCCAAAAACAGCAGCTGTAAAAACTCCAATGTGCATGAGAACTAAAACCGAACACATATTAATTACACAGGTTCTGAGGCCAAATTAATGCAGATAAGGAACTAAGTGAGTTTAACCCCTTGGCGCCGGCACCTCCTGGGTTTTAAGATCATGTGACTGCCATGATTCACCGTCACAGCGGTCACATAATCGGGAAAGGTCCCAATCGAAAGAGGAGATTGGGACCTTTCCTTGAGTTCCGGACATGTGTGCTGGGAGCTCATAGGGCGCACTCTCTCAGCACAAATGTTTTTCTTAATTGCACGCAAATGTGCGGCCACTCGGCGGCAAGGCCCAGACGCCGGGAGGCCGCACATTTGCGTGCGGCCAACGCGAAGAGGTTATTTGCCACCTTAATCAGCCACAGAACCTGTGTACTTAATATGTGTTCGGTTTTAAAGGGATGAGGTGGCAACCCTATTTCTAGGTAAGAACAATTCTTTTTTAATACCTGCTGCAAGTCACATAACAATTTCCTTTGTTCCTATATATACAAAAGGTTATAATCCAGACAAGTTTTGTGTTACAGAATTCAATAGAACCTCTGTGTTGCCAGTGTTAGCAGCCAACAGCACATATGATGGTTGTTGGAGTGCTGCAAGTTCTCAGACAAACAGGCAGAGCAATAGAAGACAACCAGGCATGATACCAAATCATACCTATGTAGTTGTTAAAGCAGAATGTAAAAACAAGCAGAAGACAAACTAGGGGTCATTGCAGGAGGGAGACAGAGGCGTAATCTGAGATACACGCCAGCATCAGAATCCAGGAAAAAAATACCAATGCAGTAGTCAAGCTGACAGGTGTAAACTTAGTCTTTCAATCAGGCATTGAATGAAAGTTTAGGGTTACCTATAAAGGTAGCTATTGAGGCTCAGGTGTCAGCTGCAGCGTGGTCTTGCTGCAGTGCACAGTAGCAACCACCAGGTGGCAAATGCTCAAGACTAATTGTTACAGTTTGCAAGGAAACTGGAAGTGATGGTCCCTGGCTAACTGTTACACTCTGGATGTCTGACAGCCAGGGGCGGACTGACCATTTGGAAACTTGGGCACTGCCCGAGGGCCCGGGGGTCAGTAGGGGGCCCCATGAGATGCCCCTGGTACCTTTTTCATAGGCTTTTTTGAGTTTGGGCAAGGACACAGGGGCCCCATGATCCCCTATTGCCCAGGGGCCCTATTAGTTGTCAGTCCGTGCATGCTGACAGCATTAGAGAGTGCCCAGAGTCTATTGTTTTCAGTTAGACAATGGCAAAAGGGGATCAGCAGGGATCAAAGCCTGCCTATATATTAAGCAAACATGATCACAGGTTTAAATTGTTTAAACATCTACACACATGGATAATGTCATTTACATTTAGCTCATCTTTTTACATGAATATCTGGGTTATTGCAAAATAACATTCATTTCCATAATCAGTGTTTTGATATATATAACGTTTAACTTTTTCTACAGAATAATAATAATAATAATTAGTAGTAGTACTCAACAGTCCTGTACAGTTTGATAAAATAAGGACACAGGAATTAAAGTGTTACTAAACCCAGGACCCGGCATTCACTATATCTGGTCTCCCACAGTACACAATACATGGAAGTTCAATTATTTTACTAATTATAAACTGCTAAATACCCTTTCTCATCAGCAGTTACAGCAGTCTTGTGACTTCAGCTGAGCACTAGTTAAAGCTTGTAGGAGGAGTTTTCTCTAGGAAATGGAAATCCCCTGACCTCTGCCTGGACAGTGCTGATATGCCCTGTGCTGATCGCATGCACTCTACCAAGAAAAAAAAAACCTCTAGCAATACACACTAAACTGAGCATGTGTAGAAGGGCACAGTTCAGTCTGTCTTATCAGCGTGGACATTTAAAAAAGAGGAGGGGCAGAAAAGAAAAGATCAAACAGCCTTTTTAAACAATGCAGATGATTAACCCCTTAGGTTCCACAATAAGTATAACAAGCATGCTTTACTGCATATACAGACTGATTTTACTGTTGTGGGTTTAATAACACTTTAACTGCCATTAACATACTATGAATAAAGGTGGAAGAACCCTGCACACAAGATTTTAAAATGCAAAAGAATAAGGTTCTAGTAATTGTTTTCAGTACTACACTACTTAATATCACATGCATTACCATTTGATTCTATAGATTACTGGGAGCCAAAACTTGCCAGATTGAACAATGCAGGTTCATACAATGCTTGGAGTGTACACATGAATACATCTTCATTGCCATGGATACAGGTATGTGTTTTCAACACCTTTAGAATGTGTTTTTCCTGAGGCATTCTTTACCTTGCTAGCTAGAGGAATTTGCAATTTTGTAAATATATGCTGTATGCATCATACATACACAGCTTTCCTGAGATGATTTGTTATCTTCATTCTCCTCCATAACATAGTTTACTAGATTTCCATCCTACAAATGCACTTGTAGTTTTAGATGTACTTTGAAGTGAACCTTCAATCAAAATGGAAACATTTTGTACAAAAAAAGTACTTTCTTTGACCAGACTTCAAACACTTCCAGAAGGGCAGGTGACACCTGCTGTCTCCAAGAAGAGCTGGTCACTCAAAATCTCTCCAGCCCATTTTATAGGTGAGGGTCTTTGAGCAAAGTGGATCTTACATTTTTATAAAAGGTTCTTTCAAGTAAACAACAAACAAATAAGTCCTACTAAAGCCAATACTTTTTTTTCCACAGTTACAGCAACTTTTTTTTTTCTTTGGAAAGGGTTTTGTGTTCATACTAGAATCCAGGCCCGGGCTGGCCATAGGGCACATTGGGCATCTGCCCAGTGGGCCAGGGTTGCATGTGGCAGCTGTGGCAACTGGACTGCTCCTTGAGCCCACACCACTCATCCGTCTCTCAGCTGCCGACTGCCCGACTAGCCAACCAGTTCAACAGCATGGCCATCAGAGCTAGGGGGCGGAAACTGGAGGCCAGCTGACCGTGAAGGGGGAGGAGCTGCAGGAGATCCCATCGCTTGATGTCAGGATAGGTGTCTCTGCAGCCGGAGACACAATGAAGCTGGACTGCAGCACCAATAAAGTGAGTGCCAGACGTGCCAGTTCTGTTGTTTGTCAAGTTAGACAATTTCTGTAAAGGCTATTAACTGTGATGAAAGGATGCTTTGGTCACTGTCTCTCTTTCTCTCTCTCTCTCTCTCTCTCTCTCTAAAGTGAAGTAAAGACTTTGCTTTCACTTTACCTTCTGTCATCCTCTGTTCAATATCACTCACATTGTGAAAGAGAGAGAGAGAGAGACAGTTCTCATACCCAACTAGGTGTCCTGCATTTAAAGTGGTTGTAAAGGAATTTTCTTTTTACATAACAAAGATCTCTATACTTACTTGCTCTGTGCAATAAAATGGCACAGAGTGGCCCCGATCCTCCTCTGCTCGGGTCCTCCGTCGGCACTCCTGGCTCCTCCTCTCTTGATGGTGACCCCAATAGGAACCTGATTCCCATGGGGGCACTCATGCGGGCTCACTCCCGAGCCCCGCTTCTGCATCCATTGACACAGACAGTGAGACTCGGCCCTACCCCCACTTTCTTGTCACTGGAGTTGATTGACAGGAGCAAAAGCCAATGGCTCTGGCTGCTATTGATCTGCCCAGTGAGGAGGGACAAAGCCAGGAGAGCCGCAGCTCTCATGCACAGCACTGGTTCGTGATTGGGCTTAGGTAAGTATAAGGGGGGATAGGGGCTGAGTCTGCGACACAAAAGGTTTTTTTTACTTAATGCATAGAATGCATTAAGGTCAAAAGCCTTGAGTCTTTAGAACCACTTTAACCACTTCCCACCCGCCGTACGTTTATAAACATCCTTGGATGGGAAGGGTGATATCTTAGTCATGGCTGCAGCAATGATTGAGATATTATTCTTTAGCCCAATTGCACAAGATAAAGTAATCTGGGTGGCTAACAAGTTGCTGTATTACTTTTACAGACGGTGGAAGGGGGTCCCACACCCCTCCTACCACCGCCCCCACCGTCTTTACCGGGCTCACCCATGCAATCAAGGGGCCCGGTAAGGGTACAACTGGTGGATGCCAGCTGTGGGCACACAGCGAGAGAAATTAATGTTGTTCCTAGCACTGTGTGACATCAGAAACAGGAAACGACAAGGATTTAATCACTTTCTGTTTCGGTTCTTTGTTTACCTGGCTGTTACCAGCCAGTAAAGCAACTGATCAGACTGATCTGTTTCTGATTGGCTGCAGTGGAGGCCAGAGGAGAGATTTGGGGTCCAATAGACCCCAGATCTCTCCAAAAAGGGGACCTGTCATGGCCCATGCTATTTCAAGGGATGTTGTTCATCCCTTGTAATAGCGATGAAAGTTGATAAAAAAAAAAAGTTAAAAGGTAGAGTGTTAAAAAAAAAATGTCAATAAAAAAACAATAAAATGTAAAAAAAAAAATTAAAGCATCCCCATTCCCCATGTTCGCAAGCAAATAGGTCCTGCACACATATGCAAATGGTGATCACACCACACATGTGGGCTATCACAGCAAATCTCAGAGAAAAGAAAAAACAATTTTTAAATTACAGAGACTGAAGCAGGCCAAATATTACAAAAAGACATAGAGAAACCGGTAGTTGTCATTTACTATTACAGTTTCTTATATAGCCCTGTCAATTTTGCACACTGCTGGATAGCACTACTTTATAAAATCACTCTACCATGCAATCCAGTGCAGGCAAATGTACTGCGATCTGTGTTTGGGGTGTCTTTAGGATAACATTGACACCTGCAGCAGATCATCCACTAAGTGCAATTTGATTGTAGTGAAGGAAACGCACATGGAGCACAGCTTTCCTGCACCATGTTGTGATGTGAACGACCCATCAAGCCAATGAATAAATACAGACAATTGTAAACATCTCTAGCAATGGTATGGTTTGTCCCAACCCAGTAACTGTCACATTTCTGGAGAGCTTAGTGAAAATATAATTAAACGATAACATCATTTTTTTTTTTTTTACCAAGGACTAACTCCCTACCCCTTACTTTGTGTACTATTAAAATCTGCACTGCCCAGTGCCGCAAAATCTTTGCATAAGTACATATTGTTTTCTGGTAACTATGTGGTTAATACTTACATACATAGTTACATAGTTAGTCTGTCTGAAAAAAAAGACATAAGTCGATCCAGTTCAACCATTAAAAAAAAAAAAGTTATAATCCTATACCCACAGTTGATCCAGAGGAAGGGAAAAAAAAAAAACAGCAAAGCATGATCCAATTTGTTCCTGCTGGGAAAAAAATTCCCTCCTGATACCCCAGAGGCAATCGGATAGTCCCTGGATCAATTTTACCTATAAATGTTAGTATCCAGTTACAGTTGTGACCAAAATTATTCAACCCCCACTGAAATTGAGTGTTTTGGCCAGTTTGACATTGCTTTTGATCATTCAGTCATCTTGCTTACATTTACATTAAAGAGGCACTTGTAGGTCAGACAAATATAACATAACAGTTATAATGAAATAACCACAAATGTCTTTTCTGTGCTCACAGCATTATCAGTTTTATTCAACCCCCAAGTGACATTCAATTTAGTACTTAGTACAGCATCCTTTTACAGTTATAACAGCTTTTAAACGTGAAGCATAGCTTGACACAAGTGTCTTGCAGCGATCTACGGGTATCTTCGCCCATTCTTCATGGGCAAAGGCCTCCAGTTCAGTCACATTCTTAGGCTTGCGCACTGCAACTGCTTTCTTTAAGTCCCACCAGAGGTTCTCAATCGGATTTAAGTCTGGTGACTGCGATGGCCACTCCAAAATGTTCCAGCCTTTCCTCTGCAACCATGCTCTAGTGGACTTGGAGGTATGCTTGGGATCATTGTCCTGTTGAAAGGTCCAACGTCTCCCAAGCCTCAGGTGTGTGACGGACTGCATCACGTTTCCATCCAATATCTCCTGGTACTGAAGAGAATTCATGGTACCTTGCACACGCTGAAGCTTCCCTGTACCTGCAGAAGCAAAACAGCCCCAAAGCATGATTGACCCTCCACCATGCTTCACAGTAGGCAAGGTGTTCTTTTCATCATAGGCCTTGTTCTTCCTCCTCCAAACATAGCGTTGATCCATGGGCCCAAACAGTTCTAATTTTGTTTCATCAGTCCACAGAACACTATCCCACAACTTTTGTGGTTTGTCCACATGGCTTTTGGCATACTGCAGTCGACTCTTCTTATTCTTTGGAGACAGCAAGGGGGTACGCCTGGGAGTTCTGGCACGGAGGCCTTCATTACGCAGTGTGCGTCTTATTGTCTGGGCTGAAACTTCTGTACCCACATCTGACAAATCTTTTCTCAGTTCCTCAGCAGTCACACGGGGACTTCTCTCCACTCTACGCTTCAGGTAGCGCACAGCAGTCGAAGTCAGCATCTTCTTTCTGCCACGACCAGGTAGCGTTTCAACAGTGCCCTTTGCCTTGAATTTGCGAATGATGCTTCCTAAGGTGTCTCTTGGTATGTTTAACATCTTTGCAATCTTCTTATAGCCATTGCCCTTCCTGTGAAGAGAAATCACCTCTTCTCTTGTCTTCCTGGACCATTCTCTTGCCTTCACCATGTTTGTAACCACACCAGTAAATGTCTAGAAGGAGCTGAGTATCACAGTCATTTTAAAGCTGCCTAATTGGTGCTTATTATGCTTGATTGCTGCTCGGTGACATCCACAGGTGTTTTCAATACCTGATGGAAAGCACCTGTATGAACCTCTGTTCTTCAGAGTGGTAGTCTTTAAGGGGTTGAAATAATGTGGCAATGAAGAAAACCACATAAGAACCATTTACTACTGTATTACATAAACAATTGATGTCATTTTAGTTGCATTTGGGTAGTTACAACGTCCTTGTAGGATTTGATTCTGAATACAATTCCAAATGTACACTATAGTCCCTAAACCCCTTTACAGCATTGGGGGTTGATGTTTGGAGATTAAATTTCTATTCCTCCAGATGTAAAGAGTGCCCCCTTTTCCTCTGTGATGACCTCAGGGTGAATAACTCTACACCGAGATCACTATATGAACCACTTATGTATTTATACATGTTGATCATATCCCCCTTAATCTCCTCTTCTCAAGAGAGAATAAATCTTTCCTCATAGCTGAGCTCCTCCATGACTCTTATCAGTTTGGTTGCCCTTCTCTGTACTTTCTCTAGTTCCACAATGTTCTTTTTGTGAATTGGTGCCCAAAACTAAACTGCATATTCCAGATGAGGTCTTACTAATGATTTGTACAGGGATAAAATTATATCTCTCTCTCTGGAGTCTAATACAAGAGAGGATTTTGCTCGCTTCAGAAACTGTAGCTTATAAAGAAAATGCTCAGTATATCAATTTTCTTTTTTATTTTGCTTCCCCTTAAAGGACAACTTCCACTTTCTTCTTCAGTGTTAATCACATAGCTAAATACTTGCCTTCAGCTCCACTCCTGGGGTCTTTATTGTATGGCCCTGCCCAGCACCAAAAGTCTTTGTACAAAAAAAGCCCCCAATACCAGAAGTAACATAATAATATAGTTGTCAGGCTTTTACAGGATATGTAAAGTAATCTTTGTATGCTTGATTTAGTGATCATTTAAAGGATAACTATGCCCAAGAGCAAAACGTTTATATATTGCAGCTTTCTAGACCTTAGCTGTGGTGGCTGAAAATTTTCTGCAAGTACTAAAAATGCCTGTCAATCTTTTCAAAAATGCAAGGGTCTTGTTGCTTACTGTGAACTGTCCTGGAAGCATAAAATAATGTTATATTTATTCTGTAAGCTACTAATTTTCCCATCTCTCATGTAATGGAGATGAAGAAAAGGAGAAAAGTCCAGCCTGGGTACCTCCATAGAACCATGGAAGATAAGGTGTAGCAAATAAAAGAAAAATACCCCCCCCCCTCCAAAATAAAATGAATGTAGCCACTATCTAGATTCATCATTTAAGAACTGGCATGCTGGAATATAGAACATTTTTGTTGTGGGATGTACATACACTTTAACTTTTCCATTTGCATTTAGCAACCAGTTTGCTCACAAGGCTCGCCTGGGGCTTTCTTTGAAATGTGGCTTTACTTTAATCGGTAAAAGGTCTTTGGAAAAACAATGTTTTTTCTTTTTAAATTTAGATGGATTTACAAAAAATATATTTAATCTCTGGAATAAAAACTCAAGGTGCTAGTAGATATTTCAGCCAGTATTACATTACTGAGTTCTTTGTGGTGTACAGCAAAGACAAGAAAAAGTGGGCAGCTTTCAAAGGAAATAGCTCTACATTGCATAAGGTACGTAATTTATTACTTTTCTGATATACATATAGGTTTGGCAGACCTGTGTTAAATAACATGAAATTCAAAAATTTGCATTTTGGAGAAAGTTGTTTTGCAACTAAATATATTTATGAATTAAAAACGTTTTCTAGTAAACCACCTTTTATAGCAGAGAGAGAGAGCCCCAATGATTTCCATGTTGAATGCTATGACAATATCCCACTTATTGTCATGTATTTGGCGTTATCACTTTGATACAGTTATTGATTCTCTTAAATTAAATTATGCCTGCACTGTTGAATATTGCTCCATTGATGAGAAATCTCATGAAAAATCATTGAGAGCTATGTACCAGGAGATCAACATTCTGAGAAGTACTGATTTCTTAGGAAACCTCAGCAAGAAATTTCTCATCAATAGAGTGGCGTTCTGTAACATGCATGGAAGGAGAGCTAAGTATTACATTTCTTATTTACAGACACAGCTTTTTTTTTTTTAGGATACTCCATATATGGTGTCTTTCCATTCTCCACTCAGCCCCTCAAGCCTGACATGTAAAACAACTAAGCCCAATCAATGGGTGTGGCTACAGGCAAGGACTGTCAGCATACATGACAGTCCTCACCCATAGCGAGGACTGCTTTTGTAGTCCTATTTTGTATGACTTTTTATTAGGACTTTCAGTTTAATAACAGAGTAACTTTAAAGTAGAGCTAAAGGCTAAATGTTTTTATGCTGTCCTACTAACAGTTGGCTAGCTAACAAAACTGCACTTCAATCACAAACTGAAATTACAATATGCTTGTATATACGTCTCTCACAAATGCTTACAAGGAATGAACAGGCATATGTGTATCAGGGGAGGAGAGAAGCATTCACTGGTGTTTCCTTCTGGATGCCAAACTTGAACAGGACTGATATGAGAGTGAAACTTCCTGTTTCCTGTTCACAATTTCAGTAGACTGCATCAAGACCTGCATATGAGAATGGAGGGGCTACGGTAGGTCTGTCTGGTGGGAGATCTGACATTTTGTGTTCCTTCCTTCCCCTCAAGTTCCTGCAGATAATATGCTTATAAACAACACTAGAAATTAGTTTTATAGCTTCAATGATCCATAAGCCTGCTGAACGTAGAGCACCTTTGGTAAAATGACAGCCTTGATGTGTGGCGCATGTTTAGGAGATATTTACTGTACCTACAGGTAAGCCTTGTTATAGGGTTACCTGTAGGTAAAATATAAAAACCCAACTATACTACCACTTTAAAGTGAGTTTTTAGATGTGACTGCTCTAATAAAGAATAATGACCCTCAACAGGAAATAAGATTATTTCCAGTTGATCTCTTTTACTTTTATATTTTAAACAAGGAACACTATACATTCCCTTAAAAGCAGAACTTCATCAAATATGTATTTTCTAGTTTTCAATACTGTGCTAAAAACTCAAACTTGGATTTATATTTCTGCCTTTGACACCCTTGGAAAGATTTTCTCATACTTTCTATCTGTGTGATGACCATGTATGAATTTTTAATCCTGAACAACCAAAATATAATTTTGTTTTTTTTTTTGTATCACTTTGATAAATAGTTAACAAACAAATACTTAAAGTGGAGTTCCAGCTGAAAAAAAATAAAATAAAAGTCAGCAGCTACAAAAACTGTAGCTGCTGACTTTTAAAATATAGAAACTTACCTTTCCCTCAGTCCAGCGGTGTCCTCACCATGGCTGGTTTCACCAGCGATCTTCTTTCCCCGGCTCATCATCTTCAGTGTGGGCACGTGGTTGTGACAGCTTGCGACGTCACAGCCAGGTGCCCAATGCGCATGCGTGAGAAGCGCTGCACTTTTTGAATGGCCCATAGTCTTCTGGGACCTGTCCCAAAAGATTACGGGGAGGGAAGGGGGAGGACAACTTCCGCTTCTGATCGCCTAGGTGATTGCAGCGGAAGTGGGAGCGGGTACCTGTCAAATTCAGGTGCCCGCTCCCCCCCCCCTGCACCCTCCTCTTTATTGTTTAATGTTTCTGGGAGATTAGTCAAAATTAAAAAAGAGAAAGAGGCAAAGAAATTTAGCATAACAGTCCAAGCACACATTCTAAACCAACACCATTGTTAAGGTGCATCATAATTACTCAGTTTTAAAAATGACCTTTTCATTTCAGTATTCAGATGTTTAGTTTTCTAAAATGTAGAAAAAAATGTGTTATATTTTTACAATATGGCAACCTAAAGGTGTACTTTAAGATGATGGTGTGAAATACCTAAATTCTAGTTTTTAGTTATGTAATTTTTTTCGCTGCATATCTTATGATTCGACACAAATTTCAGGCATCCCCTACAAGAGCTGAATTTGGAGATGCTCTATAAAGCTTATCCACTTCTAAAAATATCAACCTTATAGATTTACTATGCACAAAATGAAGAGTACACCTGGTGGTTATAACTACACATGCTTTACAAAACAGATTACATGACTGTGTGACAGCACCTTTTTTTTGATCCACAGATGTTAGATAAACTATTTTGTATGATATTTGTTACAAAATGTAATCAACTAATCTTTTATTTATCTTTGCAGATTTTTAAAGGGAATGCTGACTCCACAAGTATAAAAGAAAATCAGTTTGACCCTCCAATTGCAGCACGATACATAAGAGTTTATCCCACAAAGTACTACAATAAACCAGCTCTTCGCATGGAATTGCTTGGGTGTGAAGTAAATGGTAAATTCCTTTTAATCTATTAAAATAAAGAAGGAACTAGTTATTTCAGTTGAATAAAACTTACTTTTGGCCATTTTCTGTAATACATACATCTATGAATTATATCTGAGAAATACAGTATGTATCTATTATAAAATCTTCCTTAAAACCAAATATAAATATAATTCAATAGATAGAAAATATTTTAGGGACCAACACAAGATAGTAAAAAAAGAGGCCCTGTCCTCATGGGCCGGCCAAAAATAAAGCTCCTGATCCCAGGAGATAGGGAATCTCATAAAAATCTGGAGGGGATAAAAGAACAAACATGGACAGGGGATATATACAAAAAAATACACAGTATCAAAAATATAATATTTACATTTTAAATATATACAGCAATAAGAGCAAAATATCTATGTCCTTGTAGCTACCAAAAATATGTGCAGAGCATCAGAGTATGTATATACACAATATACAAGGTGATCTTGGAGAAAAGCACTGCTTCCTGGGAGAGGACCCTTTTCCCAACTCAAAGGAAAAACAATATCCATTACTTAGCAGTAAACTTAGAGTCCATAAAACAAACATGTTGAAGCCAAGCCCCTCCACAACAATAATGGTTCTGTACAAAATGTTCCAGGCCTTATCCCCACACTCTCTCCTGAAACAAACATCTTGCAGGAGGGTGGAGAATATAGATCTGGCCTAATCCACAAAGACGAAGATAAAGAGTAACATCAGAGGATCCCCATCTGCAGCAACCATTAAAGTGCTTCCCCAAGCATTTATCAGGCTGGAATCCAGCTTCAGTCTGAAAGCAAGCCCCAACCACAAAGTAACAGAATTAGATCTCAGGGCTTAGCAGTATAGCTTAGGGTTTGGCAGGGTTTAATGTTTCCTTCAGAATTCTGGGTAGCAATAGAGTAACTGTGATTGGTCTGTCCGGCCTTAACAATCCACTACCCAGGACCATCCCAGTCTCCATTCTTGTTTGATATCCTGGAACTGGGCCCAAGCTTCCTGATTATGAGGCCCCCATAATGGCTTGGGAACATGGAGAAAAGCCACATACCATCTCTGCTTCCCACTGAGAGGCCTCAATAGTGTCCATAATGTGCTGGGGGACATAGGAGTAATCTAGGCCCCACTCTAGCGCAGTCCTCTTTTGTATTTTCCTCTGGAATTGTGAAAATCTTGACAATTCCCTTAGCTTGCCTTGCCAGGAAGAACACAGGATTGTGGGGACCTAGTGATCCTACCTAGATCTGTTCCTGAACATAAGCTGTGTTCAGCTGCAACTCCTCAGCACAAGACAACAGCTGCAATACCTCAACTGTCCTCTCAGCTACTTCTGGTGAGGCAAACCCGACCCCACTCTCAGTATCAGCTTCCAGACTCTTTGTGGCCTTCTGGGACTCTCATCAGCTGTTCGGTATACAGGCCTGACTGCAGATCCAAAACTGTAGGTAACGGGTGCCAGATCGCTGGGTTTCAGTCTTATCAGCGGTTCCCCACAGTGCCTGCACTTGATCCAAGCGCTGACCATAGCAGTGGGTCTCCTGCAGCCAGGGCACTTCAACCACAGGAACAAAGAATCAAAGCACATAGGCTCAAGTATTGGGACACTTGTCCACTACTGCTGGTGTCACTCTGGTAGAAGTGATGAATGTATGCCCAAGAAACAGTGCTAAGAAGACTGTGGCTTAGAGTCAATATAAACCTCATGTAGAGGTATGTCTTTATTAAACAAATTGATAAAATGTATCCCAGAGTGCAGAGCAATGATGTCCCCAGGCTGTAAGGTGCAATGCCCGCTCACCTGCGTCCCTGGGCCAGGAAGAGATGTTTCTCCTTGGTGTGTTCCTGGACCGGCCGGGGATTGTGGCGCTCCGGATAAATTTTTTTTGTGTCATTGCAAGTATTCTTATGTAGTGTGAGAGAAATAACTCATAATTTAACTTCATAATTTTCCAAAAAATTGTGGGAAAAATTACAACTTCAAAAAACTCTCCATGCCTCTTACTTGGACTGTCAATTTCCAAAAAGGGGTAATTTTGGGGGGGGGGGGGGTATTTGTACTGGCCTGGCAATTTAGGGCCTCAAGGAATCAAGAAAATGAGATAGCAGTCAGTACATTAGGACACATTTTCAATGATACATACCATAGCTTATAGACTCTATAACTTTCACATAGACTAAATAGTATACACTGCTTTGGGTTATTTTTACCAAATGTTGCAGTAAAAAATGTGGCCTCAATTTATGTAGAAAATCTACTTATTTGCTAAATTTTGTATTAGAAACTAAGAAAAATTAGTTTTTTCAAATATTCACTTTTCACTTATGTTGCAAAAAATAAAAAACTCAGGGGTGACTAAATACAACTAAAAGAAAGCTCTATATATCTAAAAAAAAAGATAAATTATTTAGTTTGGATACAGTGTCGCGTGACTGAGTGATTGTCATTTAAAGTGTGAGAGCACTGAAAGCTGAAAATTGGCCTGGGCAGGAAGGGAGTAAGAGTGCCCAGTATTGAAGTGGTTAAGGGTTAATATACAAAAGCATCTCTTTAGGCAATACTCTAGTGCTGTCCTCTGCAGAAACACCACATTGCAATTGACTACTTGCAGCTTAAATAACATCCAGCATCATTCAGACCACTTCCTATGAGCCCATGGCAACAAGTACCTGCTTGGACTCCCCATTAACCCACCCTGGGATTACAGTAGAATGGTGCAGAGAACTGCACCATGTCAATAAAGGGTGATGGTCTCTGCACCATTCAGGACCCACCAACTCCTAGAGAAAAAACAAAAAGGAAGAGAACCTGTAATGTCCATAGACTAGTCTGGGGACCAAACGTTCCTAGAAAAATGATATGAAAAATAAAAATCTTTAAAAAAAAGGGCATGGAGGTGCTGCAAGGAGGAGGGGATTTGGCTTTTAATAAGATACAGTATATTATAGAAGTTTTACAAGGTGAAAGGATGCATTTTGATATGATGTATTGTTCTTTCCAGGATGTTCAGCTCCCTAGGCATGGAGAATTTAAGTATCAAAGATGAACAAATAACAGCTTCCTCATACAAATCTTATTGGTACTCATCACCATGGGTACCATATCTGGCACGCCTTAATAAAGTTGGATCTGTTAATGCTTGGCAAGCAAAGGTATGTTAAAATTATTATTCAACCAAATTATTGTGGGAACTACACTGTGCAGTATCAGCCTTATAAAAGGCTAGTCAGAAATGAAAAACCATTTTTTTGCTGGGGTTAGGCTTTAACTATATGATATTTAATACAAACAGGATAGCTACAAGTGACATAACAAATGAAAATAATGGAATCCTGTAATCATCAGCGAGTAGTCATAAATTATGTGATATACAATCCTTTTTAATGGCTTCCGTTCTATTTG